GATAAAAATAGCGCAAATTAAACTCAATACATTTTTGGTCCAATTTTATCAATTACATAATTAGTAAAATCCACATCAGGAGTTATTCATATTTATTAATTTTGTACTCCTACCTATATTTTATATTCGAAAACACATAAAAACCGATAAAAACCATAGAAACGTCAACTAGTAAGTTTCTATTTCCTTTTTTAAATATAGCGCCTTTTTGGCGTATGAATATCGATCGTGTCACGTGATTTTTATATTTATAAATCTATCTGATCCACCATCACGAGACAGCCATTAGTCATTCCGATTTTCTATGAACTAGACAAAGATCAACATTCCTGGTATATCCTAAGTAAATCCAAAAAATATTCCCTGAATGTATGTAGAACATACGAAGATATTCGGTGAATGTTCAATAAAATGTTCACGGAACATTCAAAATGCTGACAAAGGCTTTTCCCTGAATGTTCCTGGAATGTCTTAGAACATTGGGAGACATTCATGGAATGTTCCTTATGTCCTAAATGTATGTTCTGCGAATGTACATGGAATGTTATGTGCTATTAGGGATATACTGTGATACTTCTATCAAGGGGTAAATCACCCCCACCCCCCCAGAATTTGTGTAAACAATTCCTCAAAGGAAAATTTTCTACGCAAAATTTCCCAAAATTCCTTCAAATTCCTCTTAAGTTCCCTGCAAATTCCTACAAATTCCTGCAAACTCCTCTCAAATTCCCCACAAATGCCTCTTACAATTTCCCTGAAAATCCTCATAATTGCTTGTGATAAGTTTATTTTTTAAAATTTTTATTTTGCATAGGCTTGGTTTATTCATCTTCAGATAAACTTGCTGGTAACTATCTATAAGATAAATTTACCCATTTCATAATCCTATTGGTCAAGGAATAACTGGCCAACCAATGGGATTACAAATTGCGTTTTATCTGTCAGATTGGATTACCTGACGGTTTATCAGAAGGTGAATAAACCGGCCCTTGGTGGTAAAACACAAGAGCATATTATCAAGTAGGATCAAATGCATGGTTAGGTTAGAGCTAAATAAAACTAATGATTGGTTTCCGGTAATCCAGAATGCAGGGGTTTAAACTAACCTAAACCTGCATTTGATATTTCAAACAACTGAGGTATATATGTATATTGTTTCACAATATTGAGGGTATATTATTTCTTTTTATTATAAATGGACCCGAGAATGGACCTTTTCCTAAAAGTTGAACAGTAGGTGTAGGCCATACGAATGTGTCTAATTCCCATTTCGATAATTTGAAAATAAGTAAACCATTTTTTCAACGTTCAGCGTTTTTTCCATATATTATGATGCTAGGATACAATATATTCGAATTCAAATACATATAAACTCGAAACTTGTATCAACTTCAAGTAGCTTGAAGTTCCTTTGTACTCAGGGTCATTTTTAAGGAGATTTTGTACCTCTTCTGGAAAAGTTCATCCTATCTTCTGGAACAATGTCAGAAATAACTAATAAATGTTCACTTTTATTATGTTTTCCCTGTGTTTTCCTCAGTGTTTTCCAATTACCATATTAAAATGATCTACTGAAATTATGTAATCTCCATTCTCTAATAACCAATAATTTTTCCAATTCCAATTTGGTCCCAATATGAACAGTATCTTGAATGTAGTATTCAAATCCATTCAAGTCTAAGTGAATCCAATTCCAAAAGGTTTTTCCTTGAATATTAAACTGAGCATTCCTTTAAATTTGGACCTGTAAATCATGAAGTGAAATTTTAGGAGAATTTCTTTGATAGAAATGAATGTCCAACGTTCAACGCAAAACTAGATTTTTTAAAAAATTTCCATTTATTATTGTTTCTTATAATAAGAATGTGAATCTCAGTGATCCTACAATTTCCTTCAAATTCCTCACAAATTCCTCCAAATTTACTGAAAATTTCTCCAAATTTCCCATAAATTTCTTCAAATTCCCTGTACCTCAATTCCCCACATTTTTGGCAAAGAATTCCTAGGTGGTTTGCCCCTTAGAAAATACATTCTCACATAATTTAAAGTTTTCCTGAAAAACTAATTGAGGGAAAGATTGAAACTTTTTGCATGTGAAGAGGAAGGTCATTTTCCCAAAATTTCAAATATTTTCCAGTGGAAAATAACAACATGAAGAATCTTTGAAATCAGCCTACAAAAACTGAATTATTTGAAAATACAGTCTCACACATTTCAAAGTTTTCCTGGAAAACTAGTGAAGGGAAAAATTTGAAACTTTTTGCATATGAACAAGAAAATTAGGAACTCATTTTCCCAAAATTTCAATTTTTTTCATTGGAAAATAACAATATGGCGAATCTTGGAAAACAGTCAAAAAAACTGAAAATTGAAAGGCAGTCTCACACAATTCAAAAATGTCTTGGAAAACTAATGAAGGTGAAAATTTGAAACTTTTTGCATGTGAAGAGGAAGGTTAGGAGCTCATTTTCCTCATCATTTTCCCAAAATATCAAATTTTTCCAGTGGAAAATAACAACATCACGAATCTTCGAAATCAGCCTACAAAAACTGAATTTAAATTGAAAGACAGTCTCACACAAATCAAAGTTATCCTGGAAAACTAGTGAAGGGAAAAATTTGCAACTCTTTGTATGTAAAGAGGAGCGTTAGAGGTTCATTTTCCCAAAATTTCAAATATTTTCCAGTGAAAAATAACAACATGAAAAATCCTGGAAATTAGCTCACAAAAACTGAATTAATTAAAAATACAGTCTCACACATTTCAATGTTTTCACGGAAGACTGATAAAGGGAAAAATTTGAAACTTTTTACATGTAAAGAGGAAGGTTGGGAGCTCATTTTTCCAAAATTTATAAATTTTTCCGGTGAAAAATAACAACATGGGAAATCTTAAAAATTAACTTAAAATAACTGAATTACCTATTTGAAAATACAGTCTCACACATTTCAAAGTTTTCCTGGAAAACCAAAAGAGATAAAATTTTGGAACTTTTTGCATGTGAAGAGGAAAGTTAGGAGCTCATTATCCCAAAATTTCAAATTTTTCCAGTGGAACATAATAACATGCAAAATATTGAAAATCAACTAACAATAACTGAATTCATTGAGAATACAGTCTCACACATTTCAGTTTTTCTGGAAAACTAGTACAGGGAAAAATTTGAAACTTTCTGCATTTAATGAGGAAGGTTAGCTCATTTTCCCAAAATTTTATAATTTTCCAGTAGAAAATAACATGAAGCTTGACTTGAGATGTGTTTATACATACCTTCGAAGGTAAGTGAGAAGGATCCTTCTCACTTACCTTTATTTTGTTAGCAGTTAGGTATTTTTATTCACAAAACACCGAACGGGAACTAAACAATATTCGAAACACAAAAATTCTCAAAGATTTCTGGTGAAAATTTCCTAATTTCCTGTAATAATTTCAGTAAATTTTCTATAATTTCGAAAAATTTCCCAATATTTCGAATAATTTCCTAACAGTTCCTGACACTTCCCAAAATTTCCAAACATTTCCTATAATTTCTGAGAATTAACATAATTTGTGACAATTAACAGGAAATTTCTGTAATTTCTCAACATTTCCGGAAATTATTTTGAGATTTGTGCTCCTATTTCTGACCGTGAGACACCCCTCGATCTTGGTACTGCCTATAACTTCCAGTACCATTTGTACCCAAAACTAGGGTGAAAATGTCTATATTTTCACAAAAAAACTTTTTTTTGACAAATCGCAATTATTAGCTATACCCCCTTAAACCACCCTCAAAGTTATTTGCAACTCTTTTTAGGTACTTTAAACGGTGTATATCGGTACTACCTATAACTTCCTGTACCTACACTACTACAATTGTGCCCGAGACTAGGGTGGAAATGACCATATTTTCACAAAAACCTTTTTTTCGATAAATCGCAATTATTAGTTTTGCCCCCTTTAACCACCCTCAAAGTTATTTGCAAGTTTTTTTAGGTACCTACGTTAAACGGTGTATCTTGGTACTGCCTATAACTTCCAGCACCATTTGCACCCGAGAGTAGGGTGGAAATGTCCATATTTTCACAAAAACCCTTTTTTTGATGAATTGTAATTATTAGTTTTACCCCCCTAAACCACCCTCAAAGTTATTTGCAAGTCTTTTTAGGTACGCAAAGCGGTGTATCTTGGTACTGCCTATAACTTTCAGCACCATTTGAACCCGAGACTAGGGTGGAAATGTCCATATTTTCACAAAAACTCTTTTTTTAATAAATCGCAATTATTAGTTTTACCCTCTTAAACCACCCTCAAAGTTATTTGCAAGTCTTTTTAGGTATCTTAAACGGTATATCTTGGTACTGCCTATAACTTCCGGCACCATTTGTACCCGAGACAAGCTGTGCCGAGACTATGATGGAAATGTCCATATTTTCACAAAAAGCTTTTCTTTTGATGAATCACAATTATTAGTTTCACCCCCTTAAACCACCCTCAAAGTTATTTGCAAGTCTTTTTAGGTACCTCACTGCCTATAACTTTCAGCACCATTTGACTCTTCACCTCATACAATAATTAGTTTTACCCCCTTAAACCACCCACAAAGTTATTTGCAAGTCTTTTTAGGTACCCTAAATGGTGTATCTTGGTACTGCTTATAACTTCCAGTACCATTTGTACTCGACACTATGGTGGAAATGTCCATAACTAAATTAAAATCTTAATTAAAAGGTTTGTAAATTGACTTTAATTCACTGGAGTTCAATTACACTGAAATCGGATAAAAATTAACGGAGCTCTGAGGCAAAAACTGTCTAGGTGTATTTTTTAGCAAATTTTCAATATTCGATAAATGCAATTTTGAAGCTTCTCAAGCACAAAACTGTTGAAACAAATATACATTTTGTTGCCGCTTCTCGAGCGTGATAGGACATTTCCTTGCGAGTGCGCAAATCCGTAAAAAAAAAAAAAACACAAAAACTATCACAATAAATTTATTTTTATAAGTTTCCTTTTACAGGCATCATTCCTTAACAAAAAAATTAACATAGATGGAAAACGAATCACATTAGCCATATGGGACACAGCCGGACAAGAAAAATTCCACGCTTTAGGTCCTATTTATTACAGATCTTCCAATGGAGCAGTATTAGTTTACGATATTACAGGTATTACAGTCAAATTATTAGTCCAATAATTAACATCTAATAACAACCCTTTTTATGTAGACCAAGATTCATTTCAAAAAGTAAAAACATGGGTGAAAGAACTAAGAAAAATGCTAGGACGAGAAGTATGTCTGGCCATAGTAGGAAACAAAATAGATTTGGAAAAAGACCGGACTGTGCCGGTCCAAGAAGCCGAAGAGTATGCTACCAAAGTAGGAGCCTTGCACTTCTTCACTTCGGCCAAATTGAATGAAGGAGTAGAAGAAACTTTCCTTAGCCTGGCCAAACAGATGCTGGCCAAAAGCGAAGAAAAAGAAGCTAATGGTAATCTATCCAGGCAAAATTCATTGAGGAGAAACATGCTGGTTGTGACTGATGACGAACCGGAAACGGCGCCCACGAAAAGTTGTTGCGGTGCAGGAGGGGCTTAACCAAAAAGCCAAAATATTTTGTGATAAGTCGAATTTTATTATTTGAATATGTTGACTGGTTTAATTCTGTTGCAATAATTTTATTCAAAAAGGAGACACTTGGAAATATAACCGATAAAGGACTTTTCCGAGTTTACAGTTTTGCCTATTTTTATTCAATTTTGTTATTAAACAGTGCAATTTTATTTCTTAAGGTTGGAGACAACAAAATTGCAATTTAGCATTATTTGTGTGAATGTTGAAATCACAAACATGTAATATACAAGAATGCAATGAATATTCACTACACTGGTGATCAAAAATGATAAATACCATAAAAATGATTATTTTGGACTTTTTCTTTCATGAAACAATGTAAAGTAGTAGATTTTTTTCATAGAAATCTGCAAATGGGCTCAGTGGCAGATATATTTTCAATAAAAATGTTTAAAGACTCACTAGCAACATGTATTTGTGAATTGTGAATCTACACTGTTAGTTTATCAGTGTATTTTAATTTGAATTTTAAAGTGATTCGTTGCTCCTCAAAAAGTAGGCTTTTATGTAGCATTTTTTTATACACTGTGTACAATGCTAATATGTTGTATAATTATTATTCGATAATGATGTAATTATATATTGTGATATATTAATATTTAAACTAATAAAGTAGCCATCTCACAAATTCAATTTAGTATTTAATCCAAGAAAGAGCGATGTCACTATTTATAACTCACTGGGTGAAGTGGTATAATGGACAACAGGATAAAATAAAACAATAACTTATCTGCAAATAAATACTATCTAATAATACTTTTTAAGTTACAAAAATAACATTGCTTATTTCTATATACAACACAAGTTTAAAGACTAGAGGAACAATACGTACAAAAAACATAACATAGGTAAATCAGATCTTTGAAACTTAAAATAAAAACAAAAAAATAATTATTTAAAAAGTTAGTTGATTGTTTCGTGTCCTTCGTCCTCCTCAAACAACAATTCTTGTGTTGTCTCTCCAACATGTAGAGGCCTTCTCCAAAATATCACAGCAAGGCCTCCTAATAAAACAGCACCACCACAAACGTACGTCAAAATGTCCCTGTAGTACCATAAATGGGGCTCGCCTTCGTGTTGCCCCTGTATAATTATCACCACTACCCCATTGGCTAGTTTATCCACGAAGCTCATTATACCGTATACAAAAGCACCTGAATTAGTCCTTGTGCCAATCAAGTCGGTTGTTATACCTAAACTAGACACTAGCACAATGGAGCTGGCAGAGCCTAATAGTGTGGCTACAATATATATAAGGTATTGGCTATACAAATCTCCTTGGCCCCAATGTATGAAGAGGCAAGCTGCTAAGCCAATTATAGCTCCAAAAATGTAAGTCAGCTTTCTTCCTAGGGTTTTATTGATGTATCCTATGCTGAACGATGTTATCAAACTGCCAAGGTACATGATTAAAGGCACTATAGCAAGCGAACTTGCAACCATATTGAGGGATTCGTGTAGGTAAAGCGTAATGAAAACTTGAGTCAAATTAATAAATAAGCGAGAGCACATGTAAGTTAACGCTACTTGATATAATTGAATATCGGAAAATAATTCCTTGAAATCTGTACGTAATCTTGTGCCTCTAACATCCTCCAATCCAGGATTGTTAATGTTAGTTTCCTTGACAAAAATGTGAAACAATAGAGAGCAAATGGCACCAAAAGCCATTACATTTATCACAATATCCTGAAACTTTCCCGCATCAGTAAAATTAATTTTATTGTTGTCGTTGCCTCCTAAATGTAGCACAGCCCAAGTTACCACGTAAACCAAAACGTTGGCTACGACAGTAAATCCGTACCGAACTGCGGTCAGTTGAGTACGATCGTGCTCGTTGGGGCTGATTTCCGGAATCAAGGACAAATGGGATATTTGCACCGCCGCCCAGCCAAACTGGAATATTATGATGAACATCGAATAGTAGATCATTTTGCTCCAATTTGCTGCAGCTTCGCATTCGACGCACGGCGAAAATATGAAGGGGAATGTGAGGATTACGCAGAAGGTTCCTATTAGATGCCAGGTTTTTCGTTTTCCATATCTAGAAGAAACAAAAAAAATAAAGGATTGTTATTTTATTTCAACATTATTTCAATCTGTTTCAAATGTTAGAGACATGAGACTCGAGTAGAATAATTAAGCCTCGATCCTATAGCTTAAGTGGAAAATTTCAAGCTTTTGGCATTGAAACCTTTCACTTCAATTCAATTCAAAACAAGCTTTATTGTCAAAGAACAAAAAATCTTATTGACAAAGAATTTTTACATACTAATATTAAGATTAAGATTAAGATTAAAATCCAGTCAGTAAATAACATTAACATTGTGCACAAAAAATAAATAAGTTAGTAAACGGTACAAAAAAAGATAAACAACAAACAAATGACAGGCAAATTTAAGTAGGATAAATACAACGACAGTTAAGTCAAAATATAACGTGCATGCAACAGAAGCAGGAAGGCTTTAGTCCTATATAGAGACATTTAGAAACCTCATCAACTGTATAAAAGGCATGTTGAAGTAGAGTGCTCCTCAAATGGCTTCGAAACCGTGAAATATCTGAGATATTTTTGATAGTTGCAGGAAGGTGATTATAGAATTCCACGCTGTTCTAAATTATTGAGTTCTTCACAAGAGTATAGTGCGGAATCGGGAGCAGTATATTGTGCGTCTGTCGTGTGGAAAAGGCAGTTTGGTGTACAGGGAACGAAAATATGTGTTTATGTAAGAGACTTACCGATTCAAGTATAAAAAGACATGGCAATGTTAAGATGTTAAACTTTTTAAATAAGGGTTTGCAGTGTTCCACCGAAAAAGCACCAGCGATAAAGCGCACTGCTCGCTTCTGGAGTTTAAACACTGATTGAAACAGGTATTGGGTACAACAGCCCCAAAAAGGTAGTCCATAGAAAAGGTGGAAGTGTATCAATGCAAAATACACTGATTTTGCTATGGTTGCTCCAAGTTTGTGGCCTCAGCTCGGACACAGTAGCAACCAGAAGCAAGAAATTTAGTATTTAGAGAGGATTTGATGGAGAATTCATCACAATCAATATCATCAACATTACATCGGAACCCAAGCACCCGAGTCTTACCAAAGTTAAAAAGCAGTCTATTTGCATCACACCAACACTCAATGGCCCTGATGTCCCCAGAAATCACCTGAACCAGCTCATCAGAACTTCCCCCGTACCACACAACCATTGAATCATCCGCGAACGCACTGAAGACTCCCGATATATCAAGGTAGAGAAAATCATTGATATAGATGAGGAATAATATTGGTCCCAGAACTGATCCCTGTGGAACCCCGCGGACGATTGGCTGATCAGAAGACCATTTTCCACCCAGGGTGACACGCTGACTGCGATGTGAAAGATATGATTCGAACCACCTCGAGATCACAACCCTAAAGCTGTAGACCTCCAACTTCCTCAGAAGAGTTCTGTGACTCACACAGTCAAAGGCCTTTGAGAAGTCACAGAACACCCCCGCGGTACCAAAGCTATTGTTGTAGTACTTCAGTTGTTCCAAAACGCGAAACATGGCATCATGGGTACCCTTCTTAGGAAGGAATCCAAATTGGGCGGAGTTAAGAATTTTATGTTTTGATAGGTCCATCATACGTTTTTTGAGAAGCTTCTCAACAACTTTGGATATTGTTGATAACAATGATATTGGGCGATAATTTGATGGCTCTTTTGTATCCCCGCCCTTATGTATCGGTACTACCAATGCGTCCTTGAGACTAGGTGGAAAAATGCCCGATGAAAAGGACAGGCTGATTGCTTCCGATAGAACACCAAGGACCTGTTCCGGAAGTTCCCTCAGGATTTTTATGGATATACCGAGAAGTGGTTAACTGGTCAAAATCCGTGTATAAGTTGGTCAAAATCCCAGAAAATCTCATAAGATCTACTCTCAAAATCCCTAAAAATCTTTGAAATCCTTAAAAATTTAACAAAATCCCACAAAATCTCTTGAAATTGCATAAAATCCTACAAAATCTAACAAAATTTCATTAAAACCTAAAACATATTTCCTTTGAAATTCCAAAAATCCTTTGGAATCCCCAAAAATCTGTTAAAGTCTCTCAGACTTCCATAATTTAGTGGAGTTTCGAGGAATTCCGGTAGAATTATGTTTTCTGAAAAAGGAATTACATGTGAAATTTTTGCGGAGTTTCCATAGAATTCACATTAAATTTTAGTTCCTCTCGAATTACATGAAATTTCAGTGAAATTTTGATCGAATTACACGAAATCCTAAACGGAGGAATTCTAAACAATTATATGAAATTATATTCCCAACATGAAATTTCAGTTCTTACTGAATTTTAGTAAAATTCCACAAGTGGAATGCTCAGGAATTTCTGGCTAAAAACATAGAATTTCAGTGATATTCCGAAAAACTCCCATGTCAAAATTTCAATATATTTTGATGAATTTTCAAGAAATTACCTAAAGTTTCATTAATATTCCCAGCAATTCCTGACTACTGGAAGAGAATTTCAGTGAAATTTCGAAAAATTCTTATGGAAATAAATGAAATTTTGAAAAATTCCTTGAAGTTTTATTGGACTTTCGAGAAATCTTCGGCTTTGAACGTGGAATTTCAAAATATTCTCATAAAATTTTAGAGAATTCCGAGGAATTTCTAAAAAATTACATGAAACGTCAATGAAATTCTGAAGAATTTTATAAAATTTTTGTGGAATTCCAAGATATTTCAGTGGTGAAATTTTGGGGAATTTCAGTAAAGTTAAAAAAAAAAATATGGAATTTTTATGGAAATTTGAAATTGAAATTTTAGTGGAATTCCGAGGAATTTCATGAAATTTCATAGTGTAATTCCGAGGAATTTTTGTTCAAGAATTTCATTGAATTTTATTGCGGAATTCCATGAAATCTTATGGTGAAATTTGGAAAAATATTATGAAATCTTATAGTAAAATTTTTAAGAATTTCCGTTTTTCCATTCTTTACCATTTGAATGGAATTTCAAGGAATTCCATAGAATCTTCTGGTGAAATTCTAAGGAATTTCTATGAAATTTACTAAAATTTTCACGGAATTCCCATGGAAAAACTTGAAATTTTAATGGAATTTCGAAGAATTTCATGAAATCTCATAAAGTAATTCCGAGGAATTTTTGGGCAAGAATTCCATTAAATTTTATGCTGGAATTCGATAGAATCTTATGATGAAATTCGGAAAAGTATTACGAAAACTTATAGTAAAATTTCTAGGAAATTACCTTTTTCCATTCAAATTTATCACTTGAATGTAATTTCGAGAAATACCATAAAATCTTCTGGTGAAATTCTAAGGAATTTCTATGGAATTGACTAAAATTTTCGCGGAATTCCCATGGAATAACTTGAAATTTTAGTGGAATTCCAAAGAATTTCATGAAATCTTATATTGTAATTCCGAAGAAAAAAAAATTCCAAGAATTCCATTGAATTTTATGCTTTTGAAATGTTACATTTGAAATTTTTGCGGAGTTTTCATAGAATTCACATTAAATTTTAGTTCCTCTCCAATTACATGAAATTTCAGTGGAATTCCGATCGAATTACATGAAATCCTGAATGAGTTGCATGGAGGAATTCCAAACAATTAGATGGAATTACACCGAAATTCCCAACATGAAATTTCAGTGCTCGTTAAATTACATAATTTTTTTTTAAAAGTTATGATTTCCGAGGAATTTTGAAATTTGAGTGGAATTTTGAACAACTCCTATCGTTTCATGAGGAATTCCAGTGAAATTTCGAAAAATCCTAATGTAATTACATGAAGTTTTATTTTTATTCCCAGGAATTGCCAGTTAAAAACATGGTATTTTAGTGAAATTGGAATTCCGAAAAATCCCCATCGAATTACTGAATTTTAGTAAAATTAGAGAAAATTTCACAAGTGGAATTCCGAGGTATTTCCGGCTAAAAACTTGGAATTTCGGTGAAATTTGGAAAAATTCCCATGTACCTAATGATATGAAATTTCAATATATTTCGGAGGAATTTCGGTGGATTTTCAAAAAATTACTTGAAGTTTCATTAATATTCCCAGAAATTCCTGACTACTGAAAGAGAATTTCAGTGAAATTCCGAAAAATTCTTATGGAAATAAATGAAATTTTGAAAAAAAGTTTCATTGGGATTTAAAGAAATTTTCGACTAATAACGTGGAACTTCAGTGAAATTTCAAAAAATTCTCATAAAACTTTAGTGAAATTCCGAGGAATTTCTAAGAAATTACATGAAATTTCTGTGAAATTCAGAAAGATTTTGTGGAAATTTTGTAGAATTCCAGGATATTTCAGTGGTGAAGTTTTAGGGAATTTCAGTAAAGTTTTAAAAAAATTATGGAATTTGGAATTTCTATAGAATCTTGGAGAATTTCAGTGGGATTTCGAAAAAAAAAAAAATTATGAAATATTCGCTGAATTTCAATCAAATTATATATAATTTCACTTTGTGTCGATTTATATAAAATTTCGATGAAATGTCGAGTAAAATTCCAAGGAATTCTCGTCGAATTACATATGTCCTGTTCACAATCCGATGTCCACAGGTGCAGGTAAATTTATCACCTTTCCCTATAAAATAGCATTGAAAGGTGATTTTACCTGTACCTACCTGTGGACATGGGCGCTTTCTTTTATTCAGCGGTGGATCCATCAGTAATCAGCCTTTCTTTGTCTAGCTCATAGAAAATAGGAATGTCTGTCTTATTATGATGGCAGCAGATGGATGCATTGCTGAATAAAAGAACGCGCCCCTTCGGATTGTGAACGGATAATACATGGAATTCCTTGAAATTTTATTGTGGAATTCCAGTGAAATTATATGGAATCCGAAGAATTCCCCTGGAATTAAACAGAATTTCGGTGGAATTTCCATCGAACCACGAGAAATTTCGGCGGAATTCCGAAGAATTGAATTAAATTCTAGTGAAATTCTGAGTAATTTCTGTCGAATTATATAAAATTTTAGTGGAATTTCGAGTAATTTCATGAAATCTTTTACTGTAATCCCGAGGAATTTTTCTACAAGCATTCCGTTGAATTTTATGATGGAATTCCATGGAATCTTATGGTGTTATTCGGAAAAGTATTATGAAATCTTATGGTAAAATTGTTGCTAGGACTTTCTGTTTTTGTATTCAAATTTGTTATTTGAATGGAATTTCAAGGAATCCATAAAATCTCCTAGTGAAATTCTAAAGAATTTCTATGGAATTCCATTGAATTTTATGGTGGAATTCCATACAATCATATGATGAAATTCGGGAAAGTATTATGAAATCCTATAGTAAAATGTCTAGGAATTTCCGTTTTTCTATTCAAATTTGTCATTTGAACTTAGAATCTCTAAAAACTTTTCAAACACCTCTAAAATACTCCAGAATCACCTAAAATTTTGAAAATCTAAAACCTTCTGAACTCCTGTAAAATCGTGTAAACATTTTCAAAATTCCCAAAATCCTACAAAATCAATTAAGATTTAAAATATGTGTTCATTCGAGTGTTCATTATTTTATAACTAAACCTCGGAGCGGTTGATTGAAATTTTTGTACACATCCAGAAAAACTTGTAAGATATATTTAAAATCCCTGAAAATCTTTAAAAATTTAACAAAACCTCACAAAATCGCTTAAAACTCATTTAAAAAAATCCGGCAAAATCTTATAAAATCATTAATGTATTCGTAAAAAAAAAAATTCCTTCAAGATTTCCAAAATTCCTTAAGAATCCTCAAAAATCCGTTAAAATTTCTAAAAATCCTTTAGGATCTCTAATGGCCGTTTCCACCAACTATTTTAGGGGAGCTTCAACAATAAGTATTCCTTAAAATGACAGTCTTCTATGGAGAAATGTCAGTTCGAAAAATACTTATCGTTAGGGTTCCCCTAAATTAGTTGGTAAAAAAAAGCCATAAAAACCCTTTCTAAATTCCCTAAAATGATCCAAAATCACCTAAAATCTCATAAATCTAAAATCTTTTAAAATCCTGTAAAATCACGTGAAGATTTTCAAAATCCTCAAAATCCTACGAAATCGATAAAGATTTAATTATGTACACATTTTATGGAGTTAACTAAACTTCGAGCGGTTAATTGATGAAAATTTGTATCCAAGTTGGTCAAAATCCCAGAAAAATTCGTAAGATCTACTTAAAATCCCTCAAAATCTTTAAAAATCTAACAAAATTTTATTAGAACAAAAAAAATCCGGCAAAATCCTATAAAATTCCTAATAAAAAAATTCCTTTAACATTTCCAAAAATCCTTTGGGAACCCCAAAAATTCGTTAAAACTCTAAAAATCCTTTAGGGTCTCTAAAAACCCTTCTAACTTCCCAAAAATGCTCCAAAATCACCTAAAACCTTTTAAAATCCTGTAAAATCATGTGAAGATCTTCAAAATCCTACAAAATCAATATGAAGATTTAAAATCTGTGTAGGTACATACATATTTTAAGGAATTAACCACCCCTCGGGATATACCATCTGAACCGGCTGTGGACTGTTTTCTAATGGATTTAAGAACAGATACTACTTCATGGACATCGGTGGGAAAAAATGAAAAAGACTCGTTGACATGCAACATTCGAGTTGACAGCTGCAGTAAGGTTATCAGTGACAGTGCAGTAAAAGCTGTTTGTCTTAAAGATCAATGTCAATTTCTTGAGGTCTAAGGCTTTTTTTACATGTGACCTCTCTCACGATTTTCCAGGTTTCCCTAGATTTATTAGCAGCATTGCCTAAACGATTAGAGTAGAATAAGTGTTTAGCAGTACGGATAAATTTCCTGTACATTTTTCTATATTTGAGATAATAGTTCAAGATAAAAGGACTATTACCAAAGTGTTTTCGTATGAGATTTAAAGATTAAGATCTTAAGTTGGCTGTAGAAATCTTTAAGCCATTTGTCATCCAATATTTTCGGTTACCCTGTTTACGAAGGGGCCTTAGGGGAAAATATTTATCTATGACATTACTCAGAGTAAGATGGAATTCTTGAAGAGGATCTGCCCTAGAAACGATGGGATTGCCAAGGGATGTCGTTACAGGTTTACTTAAATTGAGAGAAATTTTCCCTGCTAAATATTCGGCCTTGCTTTTTACGATTCTGAATAGGCTTAACTTAGAGGGGTAATGGAGCTATAATAGCAATGTGATCTGAGAGCCCAGGGTCAATACAATCAAGATCGGAATCAAGATTAGAGGAAACGTAGTCTATTGTAATGGAGGTGGTGTCTGTTGTTCACGTGGGTTCCTCAATATGCATTTGAAGATTGAAAGACTGAAGTAGGTTGAGCAGAAGAACGGTCGAATACCTCTCGGGATCGCCAAAATCTATATTAAGGTCTCCCACAACTATCAGTCTGGAATTTGGTGGTATGTTCGAGAGAAGTATTCCAAATTTATCCACAAAGCCCGAAACGCAAGATACAGAGAATATATGAATTCAGGGACCTTGAGAAAAGTAAAGAGAATTCAAATAGTTTTTCAGACAATAAAAAGTCAAATTTATCGCAGTCGCAAAAGTTCGAGCTGGATGCAAATTCGGAACTTATCAAGATAGTGATCCCCCCATTTTTAAAGGTTGTTCGACAAAACTTAGATAAGACGTAATAATTAGGGACATCGAAAGGTTCTCCCTCCTTAAGCCAATGTTCCGGCCAAGGACGAGATGAGGGAGTTTTTTAGTTTCTAGAAAGACAAACAATTCATCGGCCTTGCCCCTTGCTGACTGAATGTTCATAAGCATGAGCTTGACAATCGTGACATGTTCTAAACCATTTGCGGAGGGCCTCCTAACTGTGTTAGTTTCTCTCCTAAAAAAGAGCAGGAAGAGTTGCCACTTCAGTTACAGCTGCTATTCAGCTCTTCCAACAGACTAAAAGGAAGAGAGGTTGAGTTTTTGGATCTATTAAGAACTTGAGGAGACCTGTCTGATGGCAAAGCGTTTGTTATATTTGGACTATTTAAAGTCATGCTATGAGCTAAATCAATTTTCAAAGAATGTAGTTGAATTGATTCCGCAATACTTTTTACCAATAAGCCAGTTCCTAGCCTTGCATCCCCCATCTGTGTTGATATTGATGAAATCACAAAAGCTTTCCGATGTTCTATTAAACGCATTTAACATTTTTTCGAATTTATGGTTAAACTGTGATATGTAGTCACTCTATTTTGCTTGCTTGTGAAGAGGTTCAATATAGTAAGAACTCCTTTATTAAATTAATTTTGGAAAAAAATCAATACTCTTTGGCATTCCAAGGAGGTGTTATTTCTACCTCATTTTCAGTGAGGGAAAAATACTGAATATCAACTATGTCGTTGGAGTCTCTACTTAGAAACCTTAGGCTTAGGCTTAGAAGTTAAACATCCTAAACTAAGTGACTATATAGACATGTTGTAGATGATAAATTCTTACCTACAAAACCAGAAATTATCGCCCTGATCCGAAAAATAGCCAACAAAAGGTGTAGATAAAGCATCAGCCACTTGTCCGACCAACAGCAAAGCTCCGGCTTGAGTGTCGGTGAAATTCAGCACCAAATGCAGAAAAACTAGAAGATAAGTGAACCACATGGAGGCGCAAACGTCATTGAGGATGTGCCCCATGCCGTAAGCCACGTAGGTGCGTATAGGCAGTCTCTGGTAGACTTCGGAATAGTCGTAGGTTTGGTCCATTTTGAATTTGACTCGTTTCTTTGGTTGTTTATTGAGGCTGTTGTTTAGGAGGGGCGTGGTGCCATCTACATGGTATGGATCCTCTAAAAAAAAGCATAAAAATCAATAATTGAGATGTTAAAGGGAATGTTTGAAACCAATGCTTGTTTTATTTTGGGTTTTATGTTATGTATTTTTGTTTTCAAACATTTAAAATCCAGTGACGTTAAGTCTGGAGATATTGCCGGCAATTCCATTTGCATCTTCTATCAATTGATTTGTTGGGAATACCAGCATTTTCTTATTCTTCTTATTTCAAAGAATATTAAAGATACCTAATGACAACAAAAACTATTGCAAGAAATTTTAAAATCATTATATAAGTAGCAAAAAGGCTAAATGAAATTGACATACAACAATCACAACTTCTAATACAAAATACACAGTGACTTCAACTTCTTATTTACCTGATTCGCTCTCAGAAATCACCATTTCGTAACCGTCATTGTGCATCTGCATCTTATCATTTCACTTATTCAACTAAAGCAATTAAATTATATTTCGAAACTGCTACGACCATTTCTTTATTATTTCCGTGATGATGTTTGATTTATGCTGATTTGTTTGAAATAAAAGCCGGAATTTATTTAAACAAGCCTATATTGTACTTGAGTGTATAGGGTGAATCAGAAAAATTTACCATGACATAAAATCAATAAACTATCATTGTAGAAAAAGCACTATATTCAAACTAGTTATTTATTTTTTGGACATACCTTGTTTCTTCAGCTCTGAAGTCCTTTTCTTGATACAACAAATCACAAATACATATGTACTTAACTGATGATAACTTTACTGCATATTCATAACTCAAATATTAGCTATTACATTAACTACTGATAAAAATTCGAAAATACAAAAGCAGCCTCTACACAATCAAAGTAGGTGAATAATAATAGCCAATTCAAATTTTATATTCACTGAATCATGTGTGTTGCCTTATCAGAGAAACTACTCATAATGGTGTGGAACTATAAAAACGCGTATGTTGGTCAATTGGATTTAAAATGATATCATCGAAACCTGGAAATTGATAATATTTAATGAGTAAACGGGAACACCCCAATTTAAAATTTGTGGTTTTGGAATTTGAATTGACCTCATCAGATAGTAATAATTAATACCTTTTATTTTAAATAATGTGTTTAATATTTATGCATTATTTTCAAATTCTAGTGAAATTGTGATAAATGCTGCGGTAGGTTATTCAAATTTCTTATCAATTTTTCAAAAAAACTACAATCATTTTGTGCATAGAACTTAAACCTTTTTTAAAAAGTGGATGATTGTCTGTGTCTATTAGTTCGTCGATTTTTAACTGACACTTTTCGTATGAGAAGCAAGGGGGCGTTTCATATGGCAAAAACAGGTGTGACGCCAGGTAACCATTGACGTTTTAATGTAGGGAGCCACCAGCTCACATTCCATCCGAGTATCAGATTAAAATCGACGGACAATACTTTCTTTACAATGCTATTGGGGCTAGTAAATTCAAAAAATATGAAAAATATAAAGTTAAAATGTCTAGATTATTATTATCAAAGAAAGTGAACATGTAAACAAACAATGGAAAACCCAATAACAAACTTTACTTGCGATAACCCCTTTTAGTTTTTACCCAGACTTGACTTGACAGATAATATCGATTTTTTTGTTTCGAATACATTTTTTGTCGCTCTATTTCTCAATTCTTTTCTCCATTGCTATTTTTTTTTCTTTTTTCAATTCTTCCCTATACCGGGTGCCCACGAGGTTACTTTCCGGCTGCCATTTTTTTATTTGTTCATCGATATCAACGAATTTTGGTAGGCTTGATGAAACGCCATTTTTGTGCATCCACGAAAAGTTTTCCTGACTTCCGGTTTTACCGGAAGTTACCAAAACTTTTGATTTTCAAATGGCACACCCTGTATATTTTTTGTTTTTTGGATTCTACAGATCCTTTTACATCTTAGTGTACCACTTTTAAATCGAGTTTTGTCCAAATTTCGTTTTTAAATTAAATTTTAAGAAAAACAAAAAAAAATTACCTACATAATAAATCAAAAATGTTTAAACGAAAATTATGAAAAATGTCGTAGTGCATTATATCGTTGGATTCGCCTTAAAATACTGCATTTATTGATGTAATGAAAGTGATATGTTTCTATTCTAGTTTTTGAGCTAGGGCAAAAATACTAAAATAATGGAGTTTACAGCCCTCTATCATAACAGTTTACAAAGATAAAATTGAGTTTGTATTTTTCTGAAATTAAGTAAAGTTTGTAGAGTCATTTTAGGATGATCATGGCACTCTAGTTAAAAAATTAAAATTTAATAAAAAAACAAAATTTGGAAAAAACCCGATTCAAAAGCGGTGCATTAGGACGTGAAACGATCTGTAGAATCCGAAAAACAAAAAATATACAGGGTGTGCCATTTAGAAATCAAAAGTTTCGGTCATTTCGAACCAGAAGTCAGGAAAATTTGACATAAATGCATAAAAATGGCGTTTGGTTAAAATATCAACCCTACTAAATTTCGTTGATATCGATAGACAAATAAAAAAATGGCAGCCGGAAAGTGATCTCGTAGGCACCCGGTATACCTACTTATGTATTAACCTATATTTCCATTTCTCTTTTTCTCATCCAATTTTTTGTATAGGTATTCCAGACTCTTAAATTTTCTCCACGTTCTCCTCCCCTAAATTAAGAAGAAAAAAAAGCATGAGCTTGGAATAAGCATTTGTTTTCATTTCTAGTTCTAGTAGAGGTGGCACTCAGAAAAATTGAAAAATTGATAAATCACCCCAAATTGCTTAACACAATTTTATCTCAGGAAATATAAGTGCAAATGAGTTGAAATTTTCAGGGATTGTAGTCCTTCGAAAGGGATAAAATTCAGTAAAAGTTTCAGCTTTCTATCTATAATAGAAAAAAAGTTATGACCTTTGAAAGTTTTCCAAAATCTAAATCATAAGGTAGGTACCTTACCTTCTTACTAAAACGATGAAATTTCAAATTTTCTTTTGTCGAGATTTTGTCTCCTTATGGTCAATCAGCATACCCCAAACTCCATAAACTAAATTATTCTCAGATTTGAAGCCGAAATCTATGAAAAAAGGCACTCAGAAAAATTGAAAAATTGATAAATCATCCCAAATTGCTTAACACGATTTTATCTCAGGAACTATAAGTGCAAATGAGCTGAAATTTTCAGGGATTGGGATTGTAATCCTTCGAAAGGGATAAAATTCAGTAAAAGTTTCAGCTTTCTATCTATAATAGAAAAAAAGTTATGACCTTTCAAAGTTTTCCATAATCTAAATTATAAGTTTTGATTGGGGTAGGATCGGAAAAAAAAAAACACCAACGGAAGTTTGTTTTTTTCAAAATTGTCGACGTTTCGCAAAATTTATTTGCATCCTCAGGACAATTTAAAAATTAACTTTCCTTGTCATTAAAATAATTGTATCACAGATCTTATAGGTATTACAAAAGTTTTTTTGTCTTTGGAACATCATCATTATATTATGTAAATTACGGAATTCAAAAAACACACAAGCCGTAACACGTTAAAATAAAAATAAAAACAAAAAGACAAACACTGTAGACATAACATTTAAAATTATCAAGAACAAAAACAGAAATATTAAAACTGGTAACTCTAAAGTTATTGTTGTTACTTTTTTTTTTATTAAATTAAAATCAGGTAGTACCTATAATCAATGATTGATTATAGGTCAATCAATCAATCAATGATTGATTATAGGTACTACCTGATTTTAATTTAAGAAAAAAAAAAGTAACAATAATAACTTTAGAGTTTCCAGTTTTAATATTTCTGTTTTTGTTCTTGATAATTTTAAATGTTATGTGTACAGTGTTTGTCTTTTTGTTTTTATTTTTATTTTAACGTGTTACGGCTTGTGTGTTTTTTGAATTCCGTAATTTACATAATATAATGATGATGTTCCAAAGACAAAAAAACTTTTGTAATACCTATAAGATCTGTGATATAATTATTTTAATGACAAGGAAAGTTAATTTTTAAATTGTCCTGAGGATGCAAATAAATTTTGCGAAACGTCGACAATTTTGAAAAAAACAAACTTCCGTTGGTGTTTTTTTTTTCCGATCCTACCCCAATCAAAACAAAGCAAAATATCAATTTTTGGATCGACAACGGTCTAATTGGATCTAAATTATAAGGTTGGGGACGCTGGAGTGAAGCAGAACTACAGGTGCGTGTAGTATATTGGATAACTGCTCTTGGCATTTCATAGTTTTTATATTGTCATGTCAGGTTTTTGTCATTATTTTTATCAAGGTATATTTTTATTATATTCTATTTCTTTTGTTATCTTCACTAGTTACTAGCCATGGTTACTGGTTGTTAGAAAATAAACTTGGCTATTTTCAAGATTGGGGATGATTGGGAAATTTTTAGCGAAAGGCTAGACCAGTTTTTTTTAGCCAACCGTGTTGAAGATGGCAGAAGAGTTTCAGTACTTTTAACTTCTATAACTGAAGAAGTTTATATTATTTTGCGAAACATTTGTCATCCGGAAAAACCAAGTTCCAAATCTTTTCTGGAATTAATTGATTTGTTGTCAGGCCAGTTTAAACCAAAAGTATCTGTTTACCGAAAAAGAATTGTTTTCGATTTATTGAGGCAGAAAGAAGAGTCGATTAATGAATGGTTTATTCGAGTAAAAAAAGCAGCTTCCGAATGTGAATATGGAAATTTGCTCGAGTCCAGGGTTTTAGATAAATTTGTAGTTGGATTAAAAGCAGGACCTATTTTAGACCGTCTTTGTGAAGAGAAAATAACAAGATCTTTGAAGGACATGGTGGAGATAGCTTTAGTAAAAGAGTCAGCCCTTAAGGACACAAGACAGCCTTTGTCAAATGTTTTTCATCTTCATGGCCATGGTAACCAGAAGAAATTTGATGAGGCGAAAGGAAATTTTAAAGGTGGAAAACCTAAAGAAAAGAAGCAGGTAAATGAGCAAGACAAGTTGAGAGATAAGAAATTTTTGTGCTTTGCCTGTGGAGAAGGTAACCATGTTTTTAAAATATGTAAATTTAAGAAATACACTTGTAGTGTATGTAAAAAAAAAGGGTCATATTGCTAAAGTATGTAAAAACCAGGTTGATAAAGTCAATTATTTGGGGAATAACGATCTTGAAGTAGATTTCTTTAATCTTGAGATAGATATTTTCAATTTAGACAATGATCACATTGCTCCAGTTACTTTAAATGCTTTTGTAAATGGTATTCAGCTTGTTTTTGAGGTTGATACGGGGGCAGGTTTGTCTTGTTTACCCTTTGAGATATACAAAAAATTATTCCCTTCGGTAGATTTATTTCCAAGCAAAATTTTAATTAAAGTTTATCATGGACCTGTGGTAAAGCCAAAAGGTCAGATTGAAGTAAATTTTTCTGTTAATCATATTACAAAAAGGTGCAAATTTTTAGTTGTAGAAGGAGCAACAAAGGCACTTATAGGAAGAGATATTTGGCGTCAATTTTCATTTACTCTGAATGAGAGGAGTGAAG